TAATCATAACCTCCCCCTTATAGGCATGAGATACTACTATTAAATCTATAAATCTATAATATATAATCATTATAAAAGAACAATAGATAGACGCATTTGGAAAATTTCACTTAAAATATAAATTAAAAATTGTATTAGAATTTTCTGCAATTTCATGAAATCGCCTTGCCTCCTAAAAGCTCATTTAATTGTTTGTTGCTATTCTTTTTATATTATTAATATTAGTTGTTTTCTCGTTTTAGACTATCTTAAATTATGTCTATTTTTCGTGTAGAAGATACAATTTTAGTTTTATTCGATTAATGTCTTATTCTGTAAATATACCTCGTATTGATATTCCAACGAGTGGTAAATTAAATGTGTTTTGATGCAGCGGATCCATGGCCGGATTGGCCACGGTTATTCGGCTATTAAGTGGTGTGGTTTGTCCTGTCGAGTATGTGCAATTTGTAAGGTCTATGTTTGGGTTTGGCCAGTTTTTGGAGAACCCAGTCCTATATTAGATGGTTTTTCCCTTGAATCGTTGCCCACCTTCTACAACCCAGGCTGTCTAGGAGTCTTAATTAGGATCTACCGATACCATCAACGATCTAAAGTTCTCCTCAAAATCAGCTTTTGAGGCTGGCCTATCGCTCCATTTCTGACCGGAAGTAAGAGCAATTGGAAAGTCACTGTTTCAGATGAGAGGAAGAACAATTTTGACAAAACAAGGACACAAAATCAAGACCATTTAACATAGACAGCACACTTTTATTAGTCCAATTTGACTTTTTCCTTTATTAATATACAATTATTTCACTTAATCGACTCCATTTTCGATATTCAGGCTTGGCATGTGTCTTCGAAATACGGAGAAGGACTTGAATTGTGTCTCGGTGTGCCGGGACAGGGGAGACGTATTTTGTATGAATGTTCAAAACTCATTTCGAATGTGCTCACACGAACTGCCCTCCGTCTGGAAAACCTACGAGCCTGAGCACTCGCTCAGTGTGGCAGATCTGAAAGAAGCCATGAATTCAAGGATGGATCAAGTGCCGGTGGACAGCCGAATTCCCAAGCAACTGTTCGACTTTTATGAAGACAATCTGAAAATGTTCGGCCGTCTAGTCGGCCTTCAGAAACTGGCAGCCTCCAATTTCTTCTGTCCCTGTTTCATGGGTTTTCAGGTAGGCTTCCGCTCGAAAGCATACATTTGCGTGATTACTTGAAGCTAAAATCTGCCCACAAGTTTGTATGAAACAACACAGTGAAGTGATGCTCTCGAATAAGCAGAACATTGCTTTTCAACTCAAGCTATGCTGTTTGGGCGTTTGCGAAGAATTAATGGGTTTGAAAGACTATTCGTTGGTGTGTAAGTGACTGATTAAGACGACAGATCATACTTGCTGATCTGAAACCGTTTGGCTCCGAGACGATCTTCAACTGGAAGCAGTTCACGAGACTTTATCATTCAAAATAGAGCTTAGAGATTTTGCAGTCCCACACATGCTTTTCGTTGTTATGACCGATGCTTTCGTAAGCTGATTTTCACACATACAGGCTTACATAGCATCATCTCGGGCAGATTAGCTAACGGAAAACGAAATTTAGGTCATTGCTTTTGTTGCATCATTAAAATGTGATGATTCGGGCTGAGGTTAGGCTTTTCTGTACTTCTGGAGAAAAAATTGGTTTTTCAAGAATCCTGTAATCCCAATTTCGTTTAAGGTGATGAAGGAATGGTAGTAAAATTTTCCCACAATGTGATGAGTAAAGCTGAACTTTTTATTGCATTTCGCAGAGTTTTGCTTTCCCGAAATGTTTCGATCTCACTTCGGTCGTATCAACACTTCTAGCGGGAGTCGAACCCTGACGGTACACAGTCCACTTTCCTGATTCAACTCCCGCTGGGTGCGATGATGAGACCGAGACGAAGCGAAGTCGAAACTGCAGTTCACTCGAGAAGAAATGAGAACAACTTTTGGGAGAGCAGGGCTCGGTGAAAGTGACTGGAAACGTCAACTCTACGCATCAGATTGTCTGAAAATTCTACCACCAGCCCTTCATCCTCTTACATGAAATGGCGGGATTACATGTCGTCTAACTGATTAGCTAGTAGTATAGAAACTCTACTTATAAATGAAAAATACTTGTATAGATTTATGTTACAGACTTTGTAAATTCGTTTGAAGAGATGAATGGAAGGAATCTGTAATTGAGTCTCACACAAAGTCGAAAGAAAGTTCCTTGGAGATATGACTCCAGAGTTGTGCTAATACATCCTCGGTTCACTGTCTCGCGAGCCCCATTACTCCGTCATGTAAAGGATATCGTCAAAGTAGGACAACATGTTTTACGATACGAAGATAGGAAGACCAAGATGGTGTGGCCTTTTGTGTGGTCGCAGTCTCCTTTCGTTGTTCAGAAGTTGTTTGACCTTGTTTTCGCCACTCGGTCATGTTGGTAGAAAGACCTAAACCACACCATCTTGGTCTTCATACCTCCGATTAAACTATGATTTTTATCGAAGGTATGAATACCAAGATG